GCAGCTCATAAGGCAGGTGAGTCCCACTATTGCTGGCCAGTCCATTCCTGACAGTACCCCCCCCTCAAGGAGCGGCCTCAGGACGCTCCTAACAGTCCTAGCTGGGCAAAATGTTCCACCGCCCGGGTCTGGTAACTGGCGGGATATCAAAGACTGGCACACCGGGCAGGACTCCGGGCAGCGGCACACCGGGCAGAGGCACATCGGGCAGGACTCCGGGCAGAGGCACATCGGGCTGGACTCCGGGCAGAGGCACATCGGGCTGGACTCCGGGCAGAGGCACATCGGGCTGGACTCCGGGCAGAGGCACATCGGGCTGGACTCCGGGCAGAGGCACATCGGATTACCAGGCGAAGCAGCAGGCAGCAGGCCACCGGGCGGAGCAGCAGGCACCAGGGCCCCCAGGCGGGGCGACAGGCATCGGCCCCCAAGCGGAGCGGCGGGTGCCGGGCCCCCAGGAGGGGCAACAGGCATCGGGCCCCCAAGCGGAGTGGCGGGCGCCGGGCCCCCCGGTGGGGCGACAGGCATCGGGCCCCCAAGCGGAGCGGCGGGCGCCGGGCCCCCAGGCGGGGCGACAGGCATCGGGCCCCCAGGTGGGGCGACAGGGATCGGGCCCCCAAGCGGAGCGGCGGGCGCCGGGCCCCCAGGAGGGGCAACAGGCATCGGGCCCCCAAGCGGAGCGGCGGGCACCGGGCCCCCAGGAGGGGCGACAGGCATCGGACCCCCAGGAGGGGCGACAGGCATCGGGCCCCCAGGCGGGGCGACAGGCATCGGGCCCCCAGGCGGGGCGGCGGGCACCGGGCTTCAGGAGGGGGACAGGCATCGGGCCCCCAGGCGGGGCGACAGGCATCGGGCCCCCAGGCAGGGCAACAGGCATCGGGCCCCCAGGCGGGGCGACAGGCATCGGGCCCCCAAGCGGAGCGGCGGGCGCCGGGCCCCCGGGAGGGGCGACAGGCATCGGGCCCCCAAGCGGAGCGGCGGGGCACCGGGCCCCCAGGCGGGGCGACAGGCATCGGGCCCCCAGGCGGGGCGACAGGCATCGGGCCCCCCGGCGGGGCGACAGACATCGGGCCCCCAAGCGGAGCAGCGGGCGCCGGGCCCCCAGGAGGGGCAACAGGCATCGGGCCCCCAGGCGGGGCGACAGGCATCGGGCCTCCAGGAGGGGCGACAGGTCTCGGGCCCCCAGGCGGAGCGGCGGGCGCCGGACCCCCAGGCGGAGCGGCGGGCGCCGGACCCCCAGGCGGAGCGACAGGTCTCGGGCCCCCAGACGGAGCGACAGGTCTCAGGCCCCCAGACGGAGCATCAGGTCTCAGGCCTCCAGGCGGAGTGGTGGGCGCCGGACCCCCAGGCGGAGCAGCGGGCGCCGGACCCCCAGGCGGAGCGACAGGTCTCGGGCCCCCAGGCGGAGCGGCGGGCACCGAGTCACCAGGCACGACAGTGGGCTCCGAGTCAACTGGCAAGACTGCGGGCACCGAGTCAACTGGCAAGACTGCGGGCACCGAGCCAACTGGCGGAACAGCGGGCTTCGAGTCGTCTGGCAAGACTGCGGGCACCGAGTCGTCTGGCAAGACTGCGGGCACCGAGTCGTCTGGCAAGACTGCGGGCACCGAGTCGTCGGGCAAGACTGCGGGCACCGAGTCGTCGGGCAAGACTGCGGGCACCGAGTCGTCGGGCAAGACTGCGGGCACCGAGTCGTATGGCGGAACAGCGGGCATCGAGTCAACTGGCGGAACAGCGGGCACCGAGTCGTCTGGCAAGACTGCGGTCACCGAATCACCAGGCACGACAGTGGACTCTGACTCAATTGGCACGACAGCGGGCACCGGGTCATCAGGTACCGGATTGTCTGGCTCGACAGCGGGCATCGGGTCACCAGGTATGACAGCGGGCACTGGGTCACCAGGCATCAGGTCATTTAGCTCGCCAGCGGGCACCGCGTCATCTGGCAAGGCAGTGGGCACCGAGTCACCAGGCACGACAGCGGGCTCTGAGTCAACTGGCATGACAGCGGGCACCTGGTCATCAGGTACCGGATTGTCTGGCTCGACAGCGGGCATCGGGTCACCAGACCTAATAGGATCGTCAGGCTGGATCAGTTCATCATGCTTGGTAGAGGCATCAGGCTGAATGCAGGCATCCGGCTGAGTAGAGGCATCCGGCTGAGTAGAGGCATCCGGCTGAGTAGAGGCATCAGGCTGAGTAGAGGCATCAGGCTGAGTAGAGGCTTCAGGCTGAGTAGAGGCATCAGGCTGAGTAGAGGCATCAGGCTGAGTAGAGGCATCAGGCTGAGTAGAGGCATCAGGCTGAGTAGAGGCTTCAGGCTGAGTAGAGGATTCAGGCTGAGTAGAGGATTCAGGCTGAGTAGAGGCTTCAGGCTGAACCACGGAAGGCAGGTTCACCGGTTTGGATACTGGCAGGATGGTATTGGTTGGAAAGAATTTTCGCTTTTTTCTGGTTTTAACTACTGGAGCACTGCAAGTAAACGCAGGTCTGCAAACGAATGGAGCAGCTGGAGACAGAGAAGAGCTGAGCGAACCGTATACATTCTAGCAGTTCATCCCGGGGATACTCCTTCAGAGTTTGATAAGCATACTCTCTGTCATCAAACACTAGCAGAGATAAATACACAACCTCATCAAGATCCATCCTTCCCATCAACAAACCAAGATGGCTTCCCTGTGCAGCCACTTCTGGTCAGGATTGGCCTTGGTGTAATGTCAGGGCTCCCGGGTGTGACCAGAGGTGTGTGACTGACGCAGGGAAACGCAGACTTCAGATATGTTATAAACAATATAATTTATTAACACTAACAATACTAACATAAACGCAGTGCAAAACTAAAACATAACACAGTGCAAACAAACCAAACCACCCACAGATAATAGTACATACAATGCAAGCGTCGTCAGGCAGGCCGGGTCAATATCAATCGGGCAGGTAGGTACAGGGGGAGCAAGCGGAGAATGGTCGGGGTCACAAGCCAGGTTTAGCAGGTAGCGGGCAGCGTGGTACAGAGGGTCAGGCAGAGGAGAATGGTCAGACAAGCCAGGGATCAGGAGCAGGAGAATGGTCAGACAAGCCATGTGGGACTCATGGCTTGTCTGGGATAAATGCATGCACTAGCTGTATGGATTTGAGCACAGGGATCTCTTGTTTGTTGGTCAGACAAGCCAGGGATCAGAGCAGGGTCAGCAGAGAATCAGACAGGAACAGGAAACAGGGCCCAGGAGAAACACAACACCAAGGCCGAGTCTGCAGGTCTGAATGTCCCTTAAATACACCAGTATAATTAGTTCCAGGTGTTTGACTGGCTGCAAGGTTGAGTCTCTGATTGCTGGGAGCACCCGCTGGCCAGCCCTGGTACTGCAGCTCATAAGGCAGGTGAGTCCCACTATTGCTGGCCAGTCCATTCCTGACACTAACCCTCAAGGGGCGGGCTAAGAGCCCTAACTTACATTCATACATATACTAGGGCCAATTTTGACAGGATCCAATTAACCTACCAGCATGTCTTTAGAGTGTTGGAGGAAACCGGAGTACCCGTAGGAAACAGACACAGGGAGAACATGCAAACCCCAGGCAGGAGGTGCTGTGGCTGGGATTTGAACCAATGACCCTAGTACTGCCAGGTGGAAGTGCTAACCATTTAGCCACTGTGCAACATTCAACTAGAACACAAAATAATCCCCCCAAAAAGTACATAGTACAAATGTTTATTGATCAAATACACATTCCACATTTATTTGGACAGCAACAAAAAGCTACATTCAATATCTTGGTGTGAAAAAAAAAAAAAAACAGGATTGATGTTGCTAAAATAGAACGGTCCTGCTCATAAGAGCTTACAATCTAAAAGATTATACTTATAATGAACTATGCTTTCACAGGTTACAGCAGGAAACAATCGGTTAATATCACTTGGGCTTATTCACAAAACAAGCTGCAGATCGAAATATCAATATAAACATACATACGTGCCAAAATATAAACACCTCCCTCCTCCCCAAATCCCCTACACATACATTTCTCACCATGTTTGTCTGAAAACTGCATTTCATTCTAAATAAAGCAAATTTGGAAGAGCAGAGCAATGGACATGTGTTAGGATTACAATGCAAAGATAATAAACACAGTCATTGTACAATAACACACAAACACACCTTAGAAGGAAGAACATGCAAAACATTTACAGCCCACATCAAAACACAGCGTGAGTGTGGCCTGGGGGCAATTCACCACAATATCTCTTCCTCCCCCAAACCACCACAGACAAGGACATGCAGAAATAATGTGCCTGCATAAGGCAAAAATCAGCCCACAACTGCATCTCCTTATATAACGTAGGCCACACCCACCACTGTCATTCATTTGGTCAGAGAAAGTGTTTGCACCTGATTAATTCTCTTCCCACCTGCGTTAACCCTTGGTATACAGGCCCCACAAATCAGAGTCATAAAGAAAGCCACAGTGACGTGTACCTGTGCAGCATACACCAGAACATTGAACAGGGTTGTGAAAGGGAACCCTATTGGCAATATTTCTTGGCCCTATGGGCACAATTCACTCCAGATTATCACAAGAGTTAAGGCAGTCACATGACCACATCTCGCATGCAATACTGAAAATGTCAATTCACTTTTGCTAGTATGCGGCATTTCCCATAAATCGGAAAAACACTCAGGAAATCAAACATAAAAAGGCCTTACACCGCGGTCACATCAAAGCAGATTTAGAAATTGTGCGACGTACAGTGAAGATGCTGATTTCCTTACGATTTGCAAGACATCTGACACAGATATCTATGCAAATCGTCACAAAAGTACTACTTTACTACTGTACTACTTTAGAAATCAGTGTCAGAAACGCCCCCAAGTGACTGCTCTAATAGCAGACAATAGGGTGCGACTTGGCATACGATTTGCAAGTCGCATGCCATGCAAATCGCATGCCAAGTCGCATCCAGGGTGCACGATTTCAGGTGCAATTTGGGAATTGCAATTGTACCTAATATCCGATCTAATGAATGTGGATGTGAGTGTCTTAACGTAAGCGATTTGCTGCAGCACAATTTCAAAAGTAGTTCTCGTCTAACTTTTTCAGCATTTTGTAGTGATTTCACATATAGACTACAATAGAAATCGCAATGCAAAACACAATTGAAAACGCAAAAAACTCATTGGTACAGAAAACACGGTGAAATTGCCAACAAAAAGCACAATTTTAAATCACATCTTGTGTGAACCAAGCAGGCAATTCAACAAAGGAAATAAATCTTTGAAGGCATGCGGTATCTGCATGCTCAGATAAGGGTCTGTTATGGATTTGGGGGGGGGGGGGGGGGACTCCATGCCATTATTTAATTTTTTTTTTTTAATCCATTTCTTTCTCATGGTTTCTCCTTTCTCTTTAAAAAGAAAAAAGAAAAAAAAAGTTGCGGTCCCGTCGGAGGTTTCCAGCCATCTGAAAAAAAGGCTAGCTGACAGTTCTTAAATAGGTTAGGGGCGGGGCCAGCCAGGGACATCATCCGAGAAACCCCGCCCCATGTAACATCATTGATGTCACATGGGGCGGGTTTCTCCGGTTTTGATGTCCCCGGCTGGCCCCGCCCCTTACTTATTTAAGAACTGTCACCCTGTCTCTCCACTGAGGCCAACTATCCTTAAATAGGTAAGGGGCGGGGCCAGCCAGGGACATCATCCGAGAAACCCCGCCCCATGTAACATCATTGATGTCACATGGTGCGGGGGTTTCTCGGATGATGTCCCCGGCTGGCCCCGCCCCTAACCTATTTAAGAACTGTCAGCTAGCCTCTCTTTCAGACGGCTGGAAGCCTCCGACGGGAGCGGAACTTTTTTCTTTTTTCTGGTCGCGCCGCCGCCGTGATTGACGTTGGATCTACTTCAGGGACATTGTTTTAATAAAGGACTTGTCAAAGACCCTGTACTGTGTTTTTTTTACAGCACACTTTGCTTTTTTGTGAATGAGTCGCGGGACCATGTACCGCAGACTCATTCATGTAGGGGGGGGGCGGGATCTGGGGCCCCCTTGTTAAAGGGGGCTTCCAGATTCTGATAAGCCCCTCGCCCGCAGACCCCCACAACCACCGGCCAGGGTTGTGGGGAAGAGGCCCTTGTCCCCATCAACATGTGGACAAGGTGCTTTGGGGGGGAGCCCCCCCTGCCCTAAAGCACCCCCCATGTTGAGGGCATGTGGCCTGGTATAGTTCAGGAGGGGGGGGGCGCTCGCCCCCCCCCCCCCTTTCCTGACCTGCCGGGCTGCATTCTCGGATAAGGGTCTGGTATGGATATTGAGGGGGACCCACGCTGTGTTTTTTTTTAATTTTGGCGTGGAGTTCCCCCTTAATATCCATACCAGACCTGAAGGGCTTGGTATGGATGAGAGGGGGGACCCACGCTGTTTTTTTTATTTTTTATTGCAGACCTTTATTTTTACCTTCAGCTGTCAAAATAAATATTATCTAGACCTTCGAAATAAGTAAAATCATTACAGAAATAATTATAAAGGATAAGAAACAAAAATAGAATCACTAGAACTAAGGAAATCAAATTAGAATACATAAAGATATGCTTAGTGCTGTTTGATAAACACAGTAGACGCGACCGAGTGTCGGCTGTCAGAGGAATCCACACTGAGATTTACTATTGAGCAGTGGCTAAAAAGCAAGCGCCCACAGAGGACGTCTAAAATGTGTTCTGCACATGCTCAATTATATCGGCCAAAGACACTGCACGGGCATCTAGTTTTTTACTGTGTTGATTTGCTTTAAAAAATCTATTTTTAACCACTTGAGCTCCAGAGGATTTACCCCCCTTAATGACCACGCCTCTTTTTGCTACTCGGCGCTGCACTAATTCAACTGATAATTGCGCGGTCATGCAATGCTGCACCCAAACAAAATTTACGTCCTTTTTTTTTCACACAAATAGAGCTTTCTTTCGGTGTAATTTGATCAC